CATATTTGGGCAAACATTGAAAAAAGCCCAAAAATCCCCAAAGAAATTTACCATAATTAAGGTTTGTTGCTATGTGGTTGTAATAGCTATAAGCTGCCGTTTGTTCGTTAAGAATGTGTATTTGTGAAGCAATGGGCCATTGGACAAATGAGCTTTCGGTCCAGTGGGACATGTTTTGGACTATTGGGGTGTTGGCCTTCAGATACCAGTGAACGGTTTTCTGTGTGAAACGCACACTCAGACACCATTGCCTAAAACAGTTTTATACTCTTCCAAAAAAATGCAGCAGTACCAGTAGAGTTTTCCTTTTCGTTATACCAAAATTGAGGAGAATTACATATCTTTAAATAAAATAGCCACTGTGCTAAACTTCATTGCCATTGCTAACCACTGTTAGGTCCTTGATGCGAGACACTCACTTTCCACAAATCTTTAGCGTTGCCTCCTTGTCCAGGATGGAGATCACATTGGGTAGTTCAACCTTTACCTCATATTTTGGCAAAACTGAAGGAGAGGAAAATGATTTAAAAATCGAACTGCTGAAAAGGAACATAGATCAAACATATCAATCATTTTGGTAATATTCAGCAAATAACTGCAGCAGACCGTATTCCTTGATGTCGAAGCTGTGGGATATTTTCTCTCCTTGGTCCGTTGTGGCAGTGATCACGTAGCTTCCCTGAACCGCCTCAGGAATCATGGGGTGGGAAATATCAAGGATACCGCTAACAAGGTTCCTATCCAACCACTGAGCAATGCGATTTGAATTGGGATCCTACATGAAGGCAGAGGCACATTTAAGGTTGAGTTTAGACCCAAAAATGAACTGTGGACTGATGGTGTCTCATGGTATCTACGCTCACAAGGAAGTTTTTCTATCCTTCATAATAAGGCAACAAAAACCTTATGGATTTTTTCCTGTAATAGTTACATCTTTTAAATTATTCAGATGGCAGACATTATAATACTTGTGAAAGTTAGTGTAAGTTCATGTCAATGTTTGTTGATTGGATTATATTTTTGGCACTACAACTAGGGGTCGCCATAATCAAATGAAAAGCCAGAAACAATTTTTAAATCCTGCCAATAGGGCCTTTAAAATGTTCTCAAAATAAAACACTGCATTTATCTCTATTAGTATAGAATGATATAATTAGCACGCAATGTGTATAAGGGTCTTATACAGCAAGCATTAGAGACAGCTTCTCATACTATAACTTTGTGTCATTCTTACCTGGAGCTCCACCACTTTGTACTGAAAAAGAAAAGAACATTTTCAGTTGCATGTAGAATTTGTACATTACATTATATGCAAGAAGAATACAACACAGAATATAAATCATTAGCTTTTTCAATAGCAAAAATTAACAATCCACTAACAGGAGTACTGGGTAATTGGTAATTAAAACAGTCATAGTTTTGGATGCAGTTTCATACAGTTAAAAAATAAAGATTATAAGATTATACATTTCAGCAGGGCACTAGTCAGTATAATATACAAAATGAATAAATGTCTGACTTTTAACATTTGATTTGGACATTTTGTTCCGTCATTTTATATATTTACAAATATTCAAATGTTTAATATGTTTTAGTTTAGAGACTCGTATAGTAGGTCAGACAGTATTACACATATTATTAAAGTTGGCTAGGCATGGGATGAATTCATGGCACAATTATCCGGTGAAAATGATTGCAATTAATAATATAATATAAATATACATACCAGTCGGCTACAGGAATGAAATTGGAATCCATCGAGACGATTCGGAATTGGACTGTAAATAAAAAGCAGGAAAAAAAAATAAAAATAGCATTAATGTTTTCTCTGAACATAAAACACAAACAGCAATACATAACATCGGTATGGGAAACAGAGAATCAATTCAATAAAACCCTACAGTACAGCCAGTGGGAGGAGGGACATTGATGGATAACTTGCATGGTACAAAGGCACTATTCTTAAAGGCCTAAGTTAGATAAAGTTTGCTAAGTTTCTAGTGATAGCGGACTGTGTGAAGCTATTTTAAAAAGCATATTTCTGAAGTTTTCCTATTGCGTTACACTGTAGACGGTGAAGTGTAGTCAGCCACAGTCTAGGGTTTATGAGAAACAATGTTTAAAAAAGGCACTGCAGCAATTAATATCGGCCTCTTTGTCAAGAAAGGGGAATTATTTAAAAAAGAAAACAGTCAAAATTAGATCAGCAGAATCTCTGAAGTAGTAAGGGACAAAAGGTCCAAAACACTGGATAATGTATATTTTTAATGCTACTCTATAGAATTAGTGATTCTTTAGTGATACCCCTGGTGCCTGGAAAACCCTTATACAGTATGTAATACTGGCTTTTCATGAAAAATCCCCAAACACAAGACAAAATAACCCTGATGACATCACTGAACTAGTCATTCTATTGAAGCTCCTCCAGAGCCATGGAGTGGGTAGGGTCTAATCATAGAGGATTTTATGGTAAAGATGACAAAGACCTTCTTTACCACTGACCTTTCGACACACAACCAATCAGATGAAAGCTGAATGAATGTGATTTTTTTGTGATATTTTTTGCATTAAACCTCCACCAAGAACTCAACCACCATCTTTCTGTGTGCTGAATTTAGTTATAATTCCTAAAGTTGTCACGTAGTGGCTCAGCATTATGTAGTCCAAAATTGTGCAAGTGCAGCTGAATCGGTAAGCATTGCAGAGGGGAGAATGTGGGCTGTATGAACAGTACGACTGCAGCAGAGCAGTCATTTTACCACACAGCAGGAAAAAAGTGAAGTACCACAACATGTGATACTAACCTTTCTGTCCAGGTTTGTAGATGGGTTTATCAGTCTGGATGATGTGGATGAAAGCAGGACGCTCAATCATGATTTTGGTTATCTTGCTCATCGAGACACCCTCACCCGTAATAGTGACATTAATGGATGCCACAGTTCTGTGATGCACTGTGGGGACCTGTAAAAGAAGAAAACATACATCTTTCAGAGAGGGTATATGACATGGCCCATATTATGCTTGTTGGGGTTTTGTCTTTCCTGTAGTGGGTTGCATACGTTTTTGTGCATTAAAACGCCTCCTTTGGACTCCTTTATTTACTTATTTGCTAGCGCTAATCTGTAAGCGGTTGACCTATCACAACGAAGCCAGCCAGTTTACCAATCAGAGCAAACTGAAAATGAGCATAATCTGGCCGCTTTAAAGCTGAGGACATGTTACTTGATTTTCAGGTTCATATTTGTATTTTGTGCCTCTACTGTGACATGTTTACATGCTTTAATGTTAAAAAGAGTCTTTATTTTCCCCCATAGTGCCTGTGCTGCAGCACCTCTTTTCACCCTCCGTCTGAAACCAGAGCCCAGTCTGCTCTGATTGGTTAGCTGGCCAGCTCTGTTGTGATTGTTCAACCTTTTAGAGATGACAAAAATGTCCCTCCCCTTAGCCTATCATGTACAATGTGTTGTGTTGAGCGCTGGGTGGGAGAGAAACTCCCTCTGGAGGGAACTTTGTGATTTTATCCTTTGCAGACCATTTACATGCACACAAACCTATATAACACTACCAGAAAGGGAAAACCCCAAAAAGCAAAACAGGGGACCATGTAAGGTAAGAACTGGGGTATGTTCAATGTAGATTGTACCTATAATTGTATACAAGAACTGTTTGGAGAAATAAAAGAACAGACCTCTACCGCGACATGGTTAATCAGGAAATGTCGTCATGTGTTTTTACTTGCTAATGGAACTGCGATTATATAACAGGGACTACTTCCAAATGTGGCTGTTGAAAGCCTAGTCATGGAGCCAGCTGGCTGATTAGGGGCGAGAGGAACGTCCCTTGAATGCATCTAACCACTAACAACAACTTCCCTCCCCTCCCGATCTTCCATACTCTACTTTGGCACTGAACATGCAGAAGCAAATGACTAAGAGCAGTTATAATTTTATTTGTTTTGACTGAAATTTGAAACGACACTTTGCAAATTGCCAAAATGTGGGTGTACACATGCTGAGTCAGACCTGGAAGTTTAAGCAGCGATAGAAGTCCTTGTCAACAGCCTGCTCGAGTATGGTGGTTTTGCCAGGGCCGATCTCGAGGGTGATGGTCAATTTGATGGGCATCGTTGGGCCGTCGATGTGAGCACACAGGGTCTCCTGTTTCCCTCCTCTCACCTGGGAGCTCACAGTCACTGCAAAAACACTGCAGCCAGAAAGACATTACATTAGTTAAAAAAAAAGGACATGGTGTGCTTCACATCAGAACAGAAAGCAGGGTTTTTAGTACTCATTCTTATGCGTTTGGTTATTGCAAAAATGCTCCTATATCAACTATTGAGTCATGGATTTTTTTCTAGTACCCATTGAGGCTGAGCAGAAGGAAATAATTAGCCGTTATTGACATCACCTGTTACATAAATTAAAGCCATGAGGTGGAGCTGAACACTTAAAAACCCTAGGCTGTGTATTCATTGTCGTACATCTGTGATTAAACGTGCCATTTTAGCTGTTTAAGTGCGTTCCCATGAAAAATTATGGTAAAAATGCACCACGAGTTCCCGAAAGGTGCACTCATACCGGTTAAAAAGTTGACTGTGGGACGCTAATCACACTCTACGATCGCCATCTTAGCTACGTAACAGTAGTGGCGCTTCCAGGCCCAATTGCGACTGCTCAAGTCAACACAGCACTATTTAAATTAAAGTTATACATGTGGCTGTTTTTCTATATTTGATACACTTTCCACTCTACTGGTGATAAAAGCAGCCACTGTTCATTTTATGGGTAAATTGAGAAGTCTGTAATGATTTGCTACCACGAAAGATGAAGTCGCTAGCTAACTAGCTAGCTGAGGGTCTATCAATACTTCCAGTTAAGGCATAGCAGCCATACTAGTGATGTGTCGGTCGCGAACGAGCCGGCTCAAAGAGCCGGCTCTTTTGAGTGAACGACGGAGCCGGCTCGCGCCCGCGAAGAGCCGTTTTTTTTTTTTTTTTTTTTTTTTTTTTTTTCTTAGTAATACAGAATGATATGATGATCTCCGCACTACAGCTGCTCCGTGCATGCATGCAGTGACATGTAATATCCAAGGATTAGAGACTGTTGGATGCTGCTGTTTTGAGCATTGCAATACATTTATTTGCATTATGTTTTTTTATGATTAGAGACGGTTGGATGCTGCTGTACTGAGCATTGCAATATATTTATTTTCACTATGTTATTTATTTATGATTATCCTTGGGCTCAGCAAAGATTTTGATGTCAGCTGTTGCTGTCTTTTTTTCGATAGTTAATACTGAAATAGAGCCCTGCTGTTTGTCAGGGCCCTTTCTTTAAATATAATTTTAAAATGTCGATACAGTAGCCCCTTTTTTTAAATGTCTATGCTTAAGTTTTTGTGTTGCTATCTGCTTTGTGTAGCGTGGTTCTACAAGTTTGTGCATTCATTGGGTGGTATCAGAGAGATACAAGGGTCTGTAAATGCAATGAAAACAATTGGCCACAGCAAATAATTGATATTAAACATGTAATTTTTACTTTTGAATACTTCAGTACAAAGGATGTATTGAATAATTTAAGTGATATGTGTACACATAAATCATTAGTCAAAACAGGGCTACATTTGATTGAATTATAAAAGGTATAATATGTGGTAAACTGAAGAGCCGTTTGGGAGCCGAAAGAGCCGGCTCTTCTTGGTGAGCCGAGCCAAATGATCCGGCTCACCAAGAAGAGCCGGAATTCCCATCACTAAGCCATACAGTAAGCGATTTGAGACAACACTACACAGTCCCACGCTGTGCAGATGTTCAAACACAACATGAAAGTGCACTAAGAGAGTATCACAGCACCATTGTACCCTACCCCATCAGCACCAAGTGGCACGCTCCCTTCAGATAGGGTTATATTTAACAGGTTAAGATTCAATTTGAATTAAGTATCACAAGCTCGAAGTAGAGTTTTGCTGATACTGTCAGAAATGGCAGAGGCTATGACAATTATTTTTTTGGTGTGAAATAAGTTAACATATCTTGACTGTTTTCCATTTATTATAAAGTACAGTCAAAGATTGACAGGAAAGCTAAGTGGTGCGTGTCAGCAGCTGACATCGATCAAAGAACTAGTTTGGGTTTTATATTGTAATTTTAGTCTCAAAACGTTTTTATTTTATACATTTTGCTTTTGTCATTTTATGCATTATCTACCCGCTAGCTAGCTAGCTTACTAAATTGATAGCCTCGTTGACTTCTACATTCTGACAGTAGCATTAATATTGCAGTTGTCGAGGATTCTTTTTCTCCCAACTACTACTGCCATGCATTTTGTGTGCGAATTTAGCCAGAAAGATCGAGCCAGAAGCTTTGTATACTGGCAGACTTAACTTATGGCATTTGTACTTTATAAGGATTTACCTTTAGAACTATACCCTGCAATAAAAAACGACAGTTGTTGTTTTGCTCCTAAGACTTATTCCTACTAGCTTTCCGTAAAGTCCGTATCGAAGTGGAAAAATGCCAGCCAAGTATGCGGCTTCTGCAGTTCAGAATCTGTTTCAAAATCCTCTGAACCTTCAGGACCTGGTCTATTTGGACGCATTTAAAAGTGATTCTAAAATAATAACATGCTTTGAATGTATTTAGATTTTGTGTTGGTCTTTAATTTGCTCTTTGATTTTATGTTAAATTCTTAGATTGTCCTTTTGGTTGCAACCTTGTCATTTGTGCTGCTAACTGTACTGGAGAGGAGTCTTTTGAAATTGATTTTTAAATCTCAATAAGTCTTTAATATATTTTATATAATTAAATCAGTTTTTTCCTCAAAAATGTTTCCTAGGTAAAAATGCGAAAAAGACCAGTGTTTTAAAGTGTGTCAGTGGATTTAGCAGTATAGTAATATTTGTTTACACGGCACTGCATGAGTTAAAATATAACATAATCAGTGGCACTTTAAGTACATTTTGATTAGAATCTGTACTGGACCTTTAGTTGTAATTCTGGTATTGAGTTCCTCTTTCACCACTGAAAAATACATATGCAAATTGGTGTTTGAAATGTTGTGTTATTGTAAATTGCATGAAATGACACGCCTAAACAACACTGCTGAATATGCTGTGTTTGAGGCTTGTTGGCATACAGGGGCCTGCACTGCCGCCACATTTTATTGAGTTTTGGGTGGTGCTGCTGAGAATATTGATGCCATCTCAGCCTGAGCAAAAGTTGCATGATGAGGAAAAGTCATTTGACTCTGATACTAAACTATGAAAGGCATGCCGAGTCAAGATGAGCACAGAGCAGATAACACACACGGGCTGTGAAAACAAAGGGTCAGAACTTGATCAATATGCAGAGTGTGTCTGTGGAAATAAGAGCTAGTATCTTGATTTAGGAAAAAAAACAAGACATGTTTGGCTTTAAGGCTCAAAACAGCACAAAGTGTTTCCTTTAAACTGATGGTCACCACTTGATTTAGTAGATATAACCAAATAATACTTTATCATTGT